TAGATAAACTTATGGAGAGTCCAAACTAGTCTAACAATAAACACAGTGTGCAAACCCTGTCTCAAAAATTATATATGTTGATGATAAAACAGAATTTTTTTTTTTTATCTAAACCAAATATAAGAAACACAACGAGATTGACTAGTGAGCCAAGAATTGTAAAAGTGTGCTGTCAGCATTTCCCTCCAACTCAGAGAGAGACGGTAATCACTATAGGTAGTGCTTTTAATGGCCTTGGTCGTAGGGAATGCCAGGTGTTACATATCACAAAAGACCTTGCTGGAGTATAAGCTCCCATGGCAAATTTCACTCCTGAAAAGGAGCCACGCTTGCACTCTTGAGCCAAACTAAAGCCCAGATAAAACACTTATTGAGTAAATCTAGTGACTTGGTCAATAAACATGATATGTAGCAACTCACTCATTTAATCAGAAGGTTGGACTGGGGGAGATCTGCTCCATAGCAGGTCAGAAAATAAATGCAGCTTTTTAGAATATGGATAGATGTCTGAAGCTTAGGAGTTCAGATTGTGCTAAATAACTTTATATTGATTGATTATTAACTAAGAAACAATATTTGACAAACCCATATTTAAGTCACAATTCATTCTTTTACTTAAGTACATAATTTAACTGTGTCTAAGGACCAATATTACTAGTTAAGAACAGCACTATCCCTTGAGAAAAAAAAATTCAGTGAACTAGTTTTTTTTAAATAAAAAAATACTACTGATTATTTTATTTGAAAGCTAACACAAAAACCATCACCAGTTCACCCACATAGGCACTAAAAGAAAGCTATTATTTGCCAAAACAGAAACAATCCCACAGCTGTCTAGTTCGGTTTACGAGATCGAATGGGACTGAATCCAAGTGAATTCAATTTGGGGAGATTTACAGGCTATTTACTTTTTAGGTTAGTTTTTCCTTTTAATATCAACACTATTAATCAGTGCCGCATTGTGGTAATCTAGAGGGCTTCAAACACAACCTTGCAGCTGACAGAAACCTCTCAGGGGATTCTGTGATAATGCAGAGTAATAAGTACTAAGAGCTCACTAATCACTTGGCCACATGATAAGACTATTAATCTTGCCGCCCATGCAGCTTAGCTCCAATGGACCACTGCCATTTGCCAGAGAAGGAAATATTAAAAAGCTTAAACACGGCAACTGATCACATAAGCTATAAAGCATCCCCACAGCAATCCATAGATGTCAAGAACCCTGTCTATCCATTTCCAGGAGCCTGGACAACATCCTTTTTAGTGACGATGGATGTGATTCATGACACAATCTGTACTGATACCCTTGTGTTCCAACACCTAAGACTGTGTTGCTGTCATGACAAATCTTTTTTTTTTTCTTTTACGCCACTAATCAACATATCTCATTTGACCACATGATCAGGTGAACTCCTGCGTCTCTGGAAGCCAGAGGAAAGTGATATAGAGTCATCTGATAACTTCATGCAAGCATGTAGCACATCTTGATTCTGTCTGTCCACAGCAGACTGTTTGAAGCCTGACTGTGAGGAATCTTTTCAGCATGACAACCCAAGCCAAATAATCCAGCCTGCTATCAACCCATCCATAAAAGGGTTTTTCATAAAGTACTCTGACCACTGTTCAATATCAGCTGCATTTTCTCTTCCCTCTTTTGGTTATAGTTTAATAAGGAAAGTCCCTAAAATAAAACATATGAGTAATTAAAATATTTCAAAATACATAGGGGAGAACTAAATGTGCATCAGCGTAGTGCAGCGCAAAGTGTATGCACTGAAATTCACACAGCAAAACAAAACAGGTAACTATAGTTTCATCTTTGTCTTTGGACTCACATTTGGAAAATTTGCATCTAATTTAATTAGACTAAATAAAATACACTCTTTTTCCATTTCATCTCTATCAGTCTAATTGAATATCTAAGTACCCATTTGGAAGCTTTGTTGCAATTAAGAAATTAAATATTTTCTCTGCTATCTAAGTTTTAGTAGCCTGGTTTAAAACAAACACTAAAAAAACAAACAATACTTCCCTGTATCTGTATTTCCATCCATCAAGAAGCAAATGCACTCTCTTATCACATACATATCAGAGATTTATTTGCATCCACAATGCAATAAAAAAATTTATAATGTGCTCCTCATTCCTATTTCTTCTAGATTAGTTGAATATTGTTGTCTTTTAAGATTGGTCAAAAGCTCTCTCATCTGTATCATAAAACAGCAGAGAGTTGATCCTTCATGCTTGAGACCAATCTTTGTGTAACCTTCCTGAACTTATCAGGATCAAAGCTATCCTCTTTACCATCAAATAGAGGATAAAGAGTTGAACTTTATGGAGATTTGTTGAGCTCCATAAATCACATGGTGCATAACAATCCACCACTTCATGCATTTAGTTCAATCAAGCCTCTCTTCCCTTTGTCGGGAAATACCCACAAAAAAGTGATAACCTCCTGTCGCAAGATCTGACTACAACCTATAAAAAACTGCGAGAATCCACAGATAGCTGGAGCAGACTTGCCAGACTCCATTGACTGTCTAATTACTCTCACCTTGCAAGGTTTTGATAAATCTGTCACTTCATCTCATTGATACTCTTTTTAAAGTAATTCTCCATGACAACACACAGAAATTAATATAGATTAACAAATTAAATTTCTTTTACAATGTTGTATGCCCATTGGTTTTAGATTCCCTCTGTTTGTTCCTAAATTGCTATTTTTACTTAGCTTAATTTCTAGAAAATCTTAAAACAAACTGATAACCACATAGTTTTAAGGGCTGTGAACACAGCTTCTAACTAAATTGGATTTTCATCCTAGGTCCTATATTTCTATCAAATAACTTCTCTCAGATCTTCTCTTTATTTTTGGCCAACCTTTCCTCCCATTAACACTGCCTAATTTATCTTTCCCTGCTAATGAAAAGAGGATAGTATCCCTGTGGCATGGTGTTAACATCACAGTCCATTGTAGTGACAGGGTGACAAGTATGAAATCAGTATTAGCTTTCTGCTACACAGTGCAATGATGCAATGATGCCCAAAAAGTTATACACTGATATCATTTAACCAGGATACTTTCCTACATAATATTTTCTTTGTCTGCTATATGTTTTGATGCAAGCGGCATATGACTTAGGGAATCGTGCTATTAGCATGGTGATATGTGACTTCTTGTTTTCTTTCAACAAAAGCTTTCTTCTGGTTGCTGTTCCACAAAGACTAGATTTGTGAATTGCAAAACTAATAATTATCAACAGATAATAATGTTAACAGATTTCTCCACCCTAACTGCAGAAAGTCTATGGAGTTGCTTTGGCCCTCTTAGATGTTTTTCTGATTAATGTTTGCCTTGCCTGGTCTATCGCTTTGGGAGCATCGCCAAGTCCAGGTATGTTTGCAGTTGTGGCCTTTTCTTTCCATTGTTTGATAATGTAATAAAAATGGCTTTCCAGGAGAAGTCCAATACTTTAAAAAAAAAAAAACAAAACCAAAAAAAAAACATGTATTTATTTTTTTACTGCCACTTGTGGCCTTTATTTGTGGCAGATCAAATAAATAAGTTCAAACACATTGAATATATTTAAAGAGCTTCAATGAGCTCCAAATTTAACTAAAAAGACTCACAAGACGAGTAAAATGAAATCTAAATTCTATGTTTGAAAGAAAATGAAGAGAGATAATGGGGGAGGCAAAAATCTCAGCTTCTGGAATCAAACCCTGAGCAGTTGCATCAAGAAATAACAGCCTCTGTATTTGCAGCTGCCTCACCACTTCTACACCATGTGCTATCCCTGTACTTCAGATTTTGTTTGTTAACCTAACTCTGACTCTAGTAAACTTCTAAGGCCTTCACAGTACAGCTATATTTACACTAGAAACTTATACAAATTGACAAAATGTAACATTTGCAACTTCTGATACTTCCAAAAATCTGACAAATGGCTGTTTTGAATTTTGTTAGAGTACTAGAAGTAAAGAGTCTGCATTTGCATGTGAGCTGCAGTTTTTGGATTTTTAGATTCATTTTGTTTTATAATAAAAGTCAAAGGGTATGAATACTTCAGCAAGGCACTCACAAAAAATCTAAATAGTTTTGCAACAAACACTCATTGATTCATTTGCTACTGTGTTATTATACTGTACAACGTTATGAGAGAAATAGGTCATTAGACAAAATGAAGAGTGGAAAGATTGGGGTCCATCAAAGGACAATTTCCTCTGTTACACTTTTCAAAATATGTATCAGTGAGATTATTCAGTGTTTGGTTGTACTGACCCATAAGAGCCTGTGCTATAGTTCACTTTTTGCTTTTGGTGCAGTCATGAGTCCACTTGGCATTTGCATATGCATTCAAGCCACAGCAGAGTTCATTTAGCCGGAGCAAAACCTAGGTTTTCAGGTGGACCAGGGTTTGCTCTTTTGGTCTACATCAGAGTTCAATTGTTCATTCAAAGCTCCCCAAACAAAGTAGACTTTCTAGGCAAATGAACTAGTGTTTCATTAAAGTGAACTAAAGCAGGGATGTCATAAATGCACCCCAGTGGAATAATGCAGAATGACTCTCACTCCATATTACTACATTGTGCCACCTTCAGAAATATTTTAGAGTCTTTGTCTTCAGTGCCTATATATTTTTCCTTTTCATTAATTCAAAAACATAACTGTTTTAAAAGAAAGTCTCCTACCTGTCATTTCCACATTTTTATTAATCAAATATGATAGCTGGAGGGTTTCAGAAATGAATAAGTTGCTCTGATTTCATATTTCCTGCAAAGACTATGATTAAGAAAAACTTGTATGAATACCAATGCTTACTGATACACTGATGTTGAAACAATCTTACAGGCATAAGAACATTTTTCAAGGCAACTTCAAATTTTATTTTGTGAAACTAAAGAGAGAGTTGCTTAATGTCTAAACAAAATGAGGTGAAATATGTGAAGGTGTAGATATATTTAAAGAGGCATTTCATCACATGAGCACAGCTCACCTGTATATTTTGTATCTGGTGGAGAAGCCCTGCCGGTTCTTCTCCACAAAGTCGATGTACTCTGGGGAATGGTGGAACGGCCCCTTATCTGAAAGGAGCCAGTCGAGAGGTCCCCCGGGTTTGTCATTAGGGAGGCTGGCTGGAGCAGCTGTTGCTGTCACGCAGGGTCGTAAACACACCCAGCAATGAAGGCTGAGGCTGATGATGCCCCATAGAGCCATCAGCGAAAGAGAGCGGAAGGGAGGGAAGGAGGGATGGAGACTGGCGGTGATGGGGGACGTTCAGCAGACAAATGCACCCGTCATTAGCTGGCTCGTCCACTGGGATAACCGAGGGACCTGCATCACCTCAATGCCCCCCAAACGCCTAGAAAAATATAAACACACAGTTACCAACAAAAGCAACATGGTAACCAGAAAAGACAGAATACAACCAATAATGAAAAGCTTAAAAAAATCAATTTTAAAGGCATTTCATTCCATGCACAGGATGAAAAGTGTGAGTTGACTTCTCATTAAGAAGTACATTATAGATCATTACAAACTGAATTACGATTAAGAAAATCATTTGTTTGTAATGTTCAAATTTTAGTTTCTACTTTTCATCAAGAAAGCACATTTTGTATGCCCATAAGATAATCAGACTGCTGGATGGAGTTTCACTAAAGCTCCTCAAACCTGAAACAGATAACAGTGCCTAAAATGCTAAAGGTCACAGCAAAAATCTCATAGTCCAACTTCCTGGCTACCAACAGTGAATTACTTATCATTTATTATTTGGGAATTGAGCTGCCTCATTTAAAGCCAAGTTATTTATTCATTTATTTATGTACTGAGCATTTCTTCTGATGCCTGTTTTATAGGATCCTGCTCCTATGTTTAGAAACAAGCGTACACACTTGGGAGCATTAATCTTTTGCCAATCTAAAAAAAAATTGCTATTTAAAAAAACATTTAAGTGTTACTGCTCAAGTGTAGTGTTTGTATAGCTTCAGGTCACTTTGGTAAGCTGCCATCGCTCATCCTGAAGTCTGGAAAGTTTTCAAGTGAGAAAATTTCCATGATTTGAAATAACCAACCTGTTTGGACATAATTCTACACATCCTTCTTGTTTCCAAGAAAGATAGTTTGCTCTTTGAAAAGACATGGTGTGAACACTAAAAGAGCTCCACCCAACACTATCTGATTCTTTTTAAAAGCACAATCGCTAAGCTCATGAACAAAAGCAGCAGGTCAGTTAAGCAGAAGACTGCATGTTAAGTAACTGAGCCCAATAGGTGGGCTTATTAACAAGCTAATATCAGCAAGTTGGACTCTCACTGTTGCTAAACAAAGAGAAGAACAGAAAAAATCATACAACTTCCCATAACAGCAGATTCATTTTAAAAACCTCTACTAATTTTGAATGCCATTTATTCCATATTCTGCTTAAATACTCCACCACTTTGCACATTTGTTAAAAATAGTGAAACAGCCTTTACCTGTGTTTGCTGGTAACACTGACTTTAAGCTGAACTTAGTTATGAGTGAAGTAGAATTTAACACTTAGTTTATTTAAATTTGTTTAACTGAAAAAACTGACTTTCAGCTCTCACTATCAAAACTGTGAGAGCAATATCAAAACTAAAACCATATTAAAACTGTAGTAGTCATTGAATTAAAATATCTCCAACAAAGAAATGACAGACACTTCTCTATCAGTTAAAAAAAAAATAAAAAACTAATGGATCATGTCATGCATTGCTGTTCACTTGCATTTTTGTGCATTGATGATGGTTTTTGAATGTTAACGTCATGAAGCAAATTTCATTTTATCTTGGTTATAGGAATGTTTTGTTTCATACTTGGAGAGTGTAGGCAGGAAGCTGTGAGAAGAAAGAATCCCCTCAATGCATAGCCTGATTTATTTCACTGTTTGTGTGCAAAACAGAGGTTGTTATTGTTCTCAGTTGCATATGTTTAGAATATGCTTCCATTTTATCTTTCTTATAGACAAAATAATTAAAGGAACAAATGGTGCTACTAACTTCATGCCTATTCATTTCACTAATGGCTCAGAAGATATCTCCTTAGCTGTGTTTCTTTCCTAAACAAAGCCACTACATCTTTATTTTTTTCTATAAAGTGCTGCTGGACCACAGCGTCTGTGTGTTTGGTGTGTTTGCTCAGTCTTCTCAAACTCTCATAGTAGCAAATAGCTGCTTACACAAAACTAGGTTCAGCAGGTTTAAAAGCGAATATTTTATTTTCACTGTCAGCACATAACCTTTTGTGTCAGACATTGCAAAGTTAATGACTTGATAAATTTACTTAGATTTTTTATTTAGATTTAGATTTTTTTTTTTTTACCATGTGCTGTTACGCTAAGTTGTATCTAACTGCACCTCAATTGTTCAATAAGAATTGTGCAGACAAGCTGTACATATCAGTCCATGAACTGGATTTGTTTATTTTGTAAAGTGCCTTGAAATTGTATTTGCTCTGAATCCACACTCTATAGAATGAACTGAAATTAGCTGACAGAAAAATGTAACAGATTTATGCACATCTGCCTTAGCAATTTGCACTTTTTAAAATGATTTTTATGGTATTTTCAGATGTCTGCAACAAAAGATATTGCTGAAAACTTTCATATTTTCAAGACATTAAGTGACTTCTGCAGATGCATGTTTGAAAAAAAAAGGTTAAAAATACTACTGACCAAGCCTCGAACGTCCTTGTAAATTTGTCAAATGAAAATCAGAAGCTTATACACTGGGACTGAAAGATGTTGATTCAGCCCTTTCATTACAGTTTTTAATAATATGCCGGAAAGTTCTTTATCCAATTTTAATAGTTTCTGCGATCTCTTTTTCTCTACTTGATGCACAGTAAGGAATCGGCCCCTAAAGAAGCTGTTGCCAACTGAAAGTTGCAGCAATTATAAAACAGGAGGCTCGTCTGTATTTGCTTAGATAATTCCAAATGGCGACTTATTTTTTGGGCCACACAGTGCATTACTATACTCTAAAAAATGTGTTTTGTTTTGTTTTTTTTAAGAGCTTGTATAGCTAAATCGACATTTATAAAATGAAGAGAAATGTCATGCTGTCTGGACAGAACTCACGTCTCGATGTCCGTATTGAGTCAACCAACGCGCGTTGGTGTTTGTATGATCTTAAGTCCAATTACAATATTCTGATGACATTCTGTCAAATTCAGTCAACCATGTGAGTGCTTGTGAGGATAGCACATTTGGAAAATCACCTCACTCAGACAACATGGTTGACAGCACAGATAGTATTCAAACTAGTTGGTGGATCAGAAGAACATTTACAGGTTAAAAATGTTAGATCACCGTTTATTATGTGTTTGTGAACTGTCAGAGAGCGGCACCTGAGTTAATTATTGAAATGTTATTATCACAGAGAACTTTGATTCAGTGATTTTAATCAGATTACATCACCTAGCAATTTGAAAATCAATATCAATCTGATTTTTTTTTTTACTAGAATCAGTCTTTATGAGCATTTCTGTATAAAGCATCTGTTTCACTTGCACACCAAAATATGAAAATGAGAACTAATCCTAAACCTTAATTTCTTTTTTTTTTTTTCAGGAATGTTTTAAATGATGATGCAGTCTTTAGTTTTCTATAAAAATATATACAAAAACAATATTTATATAATGCAGTTTTAGGAATGATTTGGAATAAGTGTAGAATTTTGGGCAGAATTTCCAAAACTAAGTAACAAATCCAAAGATGGAGGCTATACCCTAAGCTGTTGCGGTATTTTGTAGTACATTTGAAATTTGTTGGCCATCCGCTTTTTACCCCCGCATATTGTTTTTATTATGCTTTTTAGTTTACCCTACAGTTGCTTTCAAAATAACAGCAACACTTTTCTAAACTCTGACAATGTAATTGTGATGTGATGATCCCTTCATTTTGTTTAGTTGGGGGCTTGTTGGTCTTTACTTTACAGACTAATAGCACCATTATGTAGCACAGTCACGTTACCATGTTACCTTAAGTTGGTATAAGAATACTGCATATATCACACATGACTTAAAATAAATTTGACATTGCAAATTTCAAATTTCAAACCGGGTTTCCGTCTCTTTAAGAAGCTCGTGTTCTTTCCAACTCTCCAGCTTTAGCTAATTGCAGCTACCGCTTGTCTTGAGCGCTCAAGGAGCGGAGTGGCAGTTATGGGAAAGTGGCAGAGTTATGGTAAAGTGGCAGAGTTACGTAATGCGTAACTCTGAAGCTCAGTAAGGAGACTGTAGCTCCGGAGAGGAGATTTGTTGAAAAGGCAGCGCTCAGTTACCCCACTCGTTTCTTTATCCAGAGTGGTTACCAGTGGAGATTTAAGTATTTCTCAAACATGCATGAAAGTATCAAAGCAACAATCCAGGTGTGTTTTAGATGAAAGAATAACATCATAACATGATGTGAAGCTCAAAAAAGTCAATTTTACATTATACTTTAAGGTGTAGTAAGTCTGATTTTAATTGGGTCTATCAGTCTGTATTCAGAGTTTTTTTTTCCATTGGTCTAATTTAAGAAAATATGAAAGGTCATGTCATGTTTTTACTAAATATAAGTGGAAAATCATCATAAATAATAAAAATAAAGGCTTGAAAGCTAGCCTCTGTGAATAGTTAATTCTTACTGAAATACATAAACTCTGCAATAGTATTAAAATTTATTGAATATGTCTGTCCTTGCTTCAACCCTGGCCTTTTATGGACCTGGTTTTCTTTGTAACCATTTTGTTGTTTTATTGTTGGTGTACTCAGCATTGAATATTTTGATGTCTGGATTTGACAGCAACAAAAGCAGCATGTAACACCTTGCTTTTTTATTTACCCTTTGTACATCACAGATAAGACACAATAAAACAAGCTGGAAACCTAAAATATGCCATCGTCTTTTATTTTGTGATACAATCAGCTTCTAAATCGACTCTATTTGTAAGGGGCATGCATCATTAACTTTCACATGGCTAGATATTTTAAAAAAAACTAAAAAAAAGGACAACCATTACATATAATATTTTCCTTCTCACTGTTGAAAATTAAAAGAAAACAAACCATTTGTTTTTCTCACGTTACATCAGTAAGAGATACAAAAATGATTCCTGGTATCCAAGAACACCATGCCAAAAGTCAGGGTGACAGCAAAATATTTTGGAATTGTTTTGCTGTAGAAAAGAACTGCTACATTTCACAAGATGCACTGTCAGAAAAATTATATTGCATGGAATTGTTTAAGACACATCTTAAATCTCTACTTGTATGCCTTAAGAATGCAAGCAAATTTGCTAAGTGGCTGTATGAAAACAAGTGCGTATTTTGGAGTGATCTCCAAAAAGCCCTGTTCTC